GCTGATCCTGCTGACACGCACAGCGCTCCCTGAAGCCTTGGACTCATCCGGATGCCGCGTTCCAACACTACTGAGTCATGGACAAACAGAGATGTTTTGCTCAGCCAATAAAAAGGACGTGTTGCTGACATGCAGCTGGTGCAATGGATGGAAGGTCTCTTTAAACATCCCAAATTCTGCTCATTTTCTCAATTCATTAAGCTGCCTGCTCTGAGCGGATGAAATATGGAAACACTCAGATTTGAGCGATCTCAAATGGGTGATAAGGCACAAGTTTAGACAATGAGCGGTGGGAGCTGATGAGCTGCAGGAATCGCTCACAGATCCCACGTATGAAGGGCGAGACTGACTTAAATATGAAACCTCTGATTTCCCAGTAGGGTGTGAAGAGGGCGGTCAGAAACCTACTCCAGCAATGTGCCCTTGGAGCTGTGATTCGCCATGCAATCTAAAAGCAGAAGGACATCACTGTATGCATCAAGCACGATCCCCAGAAGCAGCAACCTAGCATGCATCCATGCCAACAGCACAGGAATCCCTTGGTTGGGTTGTTCCACACGAGATCCCTTGCACCTGGACACACAGCTCTGCATCCTGCTTCTCTGAATCTCTGCAGGCATGCGGATGGTGTCCTCCCCCATTCCCACCCCAACAGCCCCACGAAGCGTTCTGTCAATGACCATCAAAGCAAAAAGCTAACAAAATGATGGTGAAATGATCCTTTGAGATGAAAGGTTGCTTTTCAGCAGGTCAATGGAAACAGATCTTCTCCTCCCCGCTCATCCATCTGAGCACACACGTGTGTCAGAACCTGCACAAGCAAGACCAGAGGGTAAGACCAGACCCACAGGGAGGGGAGAATCAAAGTCCTGAGGATCCCTCGCTCACTCACCTACAGATGCCCCACAGAACCCAGGGAGACCACCAGCAGCTCCCAGAGCCAACCTCCACCAGTGCCTCCAGCCACAGAATGACTTTCTTTCCCTCCTGCCCATCCCTTGGGGGTGTTTAGATACACAAGAAGAGGATGGTTAAGCCAAGCAGCCTGAGGCACGTCCTGCTGCCATGCAAAGCCCTCACAAAGCAGCTGGTGGAACATGAGTTGGAATGACAACAGCTCCTCCCATTGCATCTCAGTGTCTACATGCTCTGCCTTCACGTGGATGCTTCGTGGGGCTCAAACCCATCAAAGCAAAGGTGGCCCGTGTTCTTCTATGCAAGTGGAGGCTGAGCTCCTTGGCTGAATCTTCCCAACTCTCTGCTCTTCTTCCTGACACAGAATGCCCTTGCTGACATCTATCAGCCACATGGATTTGGTGTGGCTTTACTTTACTTCTCATCTTCCAGCGAAACAAAAGAACACATCCCTTTACTGGGGCAGCTTTTGTCCCAGATCAAACAGGCACTGTTTGATGAACACGCTGCACTCACCCGCCTGGAACATCCATCCCTGCCAGCACCAGGAGCTTCCTTGTACTTAGCACCTCTGCCTTCAGGAAGCACGTCCTGGTGCAGAGCTCTAGCAGTCATAAAGGTGAGGTGCTCTTTGTGTGCTCTGCCACGACGCGGATGAAACCATTCCTGCAGGCAGCCAACAGCCTGAAGCCATGGCAGAAATAACCCCAAACTCAGCCCTATGTGACTGAGAAGCCCTCCCTGTATGGACCTACAAAGCACACAGCAGGCTGTCACGGGGATCCTTTCCATTCTGCAGCACACAGTCAGCTTCCCAGCAGTGTGAGTGGCAGCTACAGTTCTGCAGGGCTCTATCTCCCCATCTGCCCCACTCAATCAGTGGGGCACAGCTCACTGCCAGCACTGCAGCTCCCTGGAGCTGTCTGCTCCTCCTGCTGTAAGCTGCAGGCTTTATCTGCTCGCAGCCAGCTCCTCTAGCAGCAGGCTGAAAGCTGCAGGGTGCTGTGGGTCACATCTGCCTCCCAGCTGCTAAACGCCTCTCCTGACCTCTCAGTTCCCTCCTTCAGGTCTTCTAGATTAGAAGGCAAAAGCTTGCAGAAAAGAGACATAAAGGAAGAGATAACTAAGCAAACAGGCAGCACAGAGCTGTCCTGCAGCAGCCCATGGTGGGATGCCCCACTGACAGCATTGCACGACACAGCAGCACCTGCACTGAGTCAGGAGCAGCCTTGACACGCTCAGAACCTTCTGCTTTTCCATCTCTCCTGCTCTTGTTCTCTCCCTGCATCACTTGATGAACTACACCAGTGCACTGCCTTTCCTCCCAACCCATTCCCCAAACATTTTTCCTTCTGCTTCTTCCACCTGCCCGGATTTGTTTCACTTCTCCTCCTTCCTGACCAACCCATCCCATTCCACCACTTCCCAATAAGACCACAGCTGCACAGCACTGACCGCAGCCACACTGCTTACACTCAGCCCTGCCTGCAAGGCTCAGTGCCAGAGCTGGACTAACAGGGAAGCCCAACGTGTCGGCCTGATGGCACGACACAGGAGACACTCCTGGCCTAAAACACACTCTTTACAGGTTAGTGTCCATCCAGAGCTGCATGGCTGCATGCTGGTAGCACACATTGCCTCTTATCTATCCCTCGCTCCCCATCTGCAGCTGAGCCACCGCAGCTCTTTGCCACCAGCAGGAGAGCAGAGGGCAGGGAGTGGGCTGCAACCCGTGCACGCTCATCTAGAACACGCTTCAGCTAACTATTTGAGGAGTAAGGTATGTGTGTAAGCAAATTCTACCTTAAAAAAGCAATTGTAAAGGAAGGGAGCTGCAAACAAAGGCTGAAAGCTAGTGTTAACTTCAAAGCTTGACAGAGATGGGAGAAAAGCACCTGGCAGCACAAGGACAGATCCTAATCTCCCCTCTCAGGACAATTCCCCTACCTCCAGCTTTGGGTTTTCTGCAGGCAGAACGCCTTGTACCCAATTACATGTCTTTATCCAGGGCAAGACTGACAGCAATTCCACGGTGGCTAAAGCCAATGAATCCAGGCATCCTCTGGCAGCTAGGAAAGGAAGATCAAAGCCAAGCCCATGACAGGTAAATTAGGATGGCAGCTCTCACAGCTGCTTGACTTCATGTAGCACAGAGACTACAGGTCCCACGTCCTGCCATGGGGTGGGGAGGACCAGCCCAACTGCTGGGGGCTGAGCTCTGCACATCACTGAGACCCTTTTGCCATGGTCTGGGCAGGAGAAAGCTAAACGAAGGCAGCAAGCAGGCAGAGGGAGCACAGGAAATGTGTCTGCTGCCATAAAAACCAGAGCAGTTTTACACCACGAGGTTCAGAAATATTCATTTTTGAAGACAGGGATGCTGATTTCCAGAGGTGTTTGCACCCTGAGCCGTGGCTGTGCTGAACTGCAGCATCATTGCTCACCTAGCTATTAATTAGGGCTCGTGTCAGCGCTTCCATTACAAACCTCTGCCTTTTAGGGGTTTATAACTCAGCCATAAAACTTTGCTCTAGGCTGAAATTTATCATGAAAGGGTCCGCCTGGAAGGAATCCATTCTTTTCTATTTTAGAGTCCCAAAAGCTTACGGCCACAAAACAGGGATTTTACTCTGAGGACCGGCACACAAAAGAAGCCCTTTAGCTGTTTTTTTACAGGAGCACTGGGTGAGATGTGCTTCCCAAACCGGCTCCGAGACGCCTCCTGGTTGGGGTGGGGGTTTTATATGCTGAATGTTGTAAATTTTAGGAATTATTAGGTTTTATGCTCCAGGGCTAAAGTCGGTGCTTACCTAATCACCAGTGAATCCCTCTGCCCCACCGGAGCGTGACTCGCTTCATGTTTCCCACCATTCCCTCCCCATTTCCTCCATTGAGCCACTTGGGGGAAGCAAGACTTAATTCCCACCCAACACTCCATTAAGCAGGGATGGATCTGTCTCTCCAGGCACACAGGTATGACCTTCACACGCTGCTGCTGCCTGCAGAACAGCCCACGTCGTGCTCACGTGGGGACGTGTCAGTGCGTCTAACTGGCAGAGGCCATTGGTCCTTCAGCTCCTCGCTGCCCACCTTTGCTCTGATGGGAGCAGAACGGAGGCAGAACCCAGCACTGCATTTGATGGAGCTGGGAGTCACCTCTGATACTCTCTCATCCCATCTCTGATGCCTACATCAGCCACAATGCTGAGAGCAATGTCCTTCGGAGGTGGTTAAACAGTGTCTCCCATTGGCTTACACATGCTGCACCAGCATCAGTTGTACTAATATCTTCCTACTGGTTTTTAATCTGTAACTGAACAGGAAGTTGACACAAAGCACCAGAAACTACCTGTACCACAAAGAGAAGTTCTCAGTGCTTCTTGCCCCAAAATACTACCTTTGGTGTTGTACTGCTTCAAGCCTTTTGTGCAAAGCATCACTTTTGCAAACAAGACACATATTCCCATGCCAGTAAGGACACACATATGCCTGGGCCACCTCAATCTCATGTTCCTCCAAAGAGGGGCTACAGTAAACACACATCAAAAACAGCACTGGGCTTTTTTTTGATATGGACAGAGATGGCCATGCTTTGTGCAGTGCACCCCAGGGTGCCACTGGCCTTCTTGGCCAGCAGGGCTCCCTGTTGGTTCACGGTCAACCGTTGGTCAACTGTTGGTCAACCAAGACACCACTGGCCTTCTTGACTACCAAGGCTCACCGAGGGCTCATGGTCTACAGTTGGTCAACTGTTAGTCAACCACTGGTCAACTGTTGGTCAACCAGGATTCCAATGGCCCTCCTGGTCAGGAAGACTCACTGAGGGCTCATGGTCAACTGTTGGTCAATCAAAGCCAATCATTTCTCTCTTTTCAAAAGAGATTGTTTTCCCCCCAAGAGAACTTTCCCCACAGCAAAAGAATAGAAAGAAGGATATTTGGGAAGGGGAGAAAGAGAAAGAAGGAAGAAAAACCCCACAGGACCGACAATCAGAAACGTTCATTTACATCTAACAGCATCCATACGCCAGTAACATACCATAAATGCTTAGCCTACCATACAAAGAGGGTGCCCCAAAATGGTACCTGCAAGAGGTCTCTCGGAAGGAGATGTTTAAATCCCAGTGGGTGTGTATCCTGTCAACAAACAAATAAACAGAGATCAATGGCACATGCTGAACACGGCATCCTTTGCCATCACGACCCACCCTCTCCCCAGCTCTGCCCTTTGCTGCAGGCACAGTCAAACCCCACGTATCCTATGGGCCCCACTGTGCTGGCAGTGAGACTCACAGCAGGGTGAAGGAGCCCCACTGCTGCTGCAGGCTTCCCAACACGCCCAAGGGCTGCAAGGTGTTTTCTCAACTGATGCAGGAAGGGCTAAGCACTGCCATTTTAAGAAGAAAACCCAAATATCTCTGCACTGTACTCCCTCCTTCACGCCCGCCCTGGCTGTAAATAAATTATTAGCAATTTCCCACCTCGG